TTAAAAGAAATCCTCAGCAACTGCCTGATATGTCAGAGAACTAAACAGCTTCCAGTCGAATAGTAAATTCGTAAAAGACTCTGGAGGTGGACAAAGCACACATTGCAACCGGAGTCGAAAACAGACGTCAAAAGAATGGACAGCATTTAGAAGAACTTGAAAATAGTTGATTGGAGAATCGTGGTCAGCACACTTTGCTTCATGAGGGATAACAGGATTAGGTTAGTAAGATAGTTCTCTTGCACTACTACAACATGACGAGGTTGATTCTGATTAGTGACTTTAAATATGATCAGAAATATGCGGAAAATGTTTATTGTCTATTTAAAATACCTCATATGTTGAATGAACAAACCACAATTGCAATCTATGATTTCACGTAAATAATTCTGTAGATAATAAAATATTAGACTTCTGATGCTCTATTGATAGCTAACGGTATCACACATACAAATATTGATTTTATTTATGTGGGTTTTAGAACTTCTATTTCGATCACATCTGTTCCATCAGTTTCATATTCGAAATATATCTATTCAAAAGTCCATTCTCGTTATTTGACTTATTTAATTCCGTTATTGACTAACGCGATTAAAGTCAATGATTATATACAAGGATAGGAGATAAAAAACATTCATACGATCTACTTGGAGTCAGATCCCGCACCACTAAAGTGGAGAGCACTTCAACGAACATTACTTACTTACTTATTTACGCCTGTTACTCCCAATGGAGCATAGGCCGCCGACCAGCATTCTCCAACCCACTCTGTCCTGGGCCTTCTTTTCTAGTTCCATCCAATTCTTGTTCATCTTTTTCATGTCTATTTCCATTTCTCGGCGTAATGGGTTCTTTGGTATTCCTCTTCCCCTGCTTTGGCCCTCACGATTCCATGTGAGGACTTGTCTTGTGACGCAGTTGGGTGCTTTCCTCAATGTGTGTCCTATCCACTTCCAGCGCTTCTTCCTGATTTCTTCCCCCACTTGGATCTGCTTTGTTCTCCCTCATAGTAGGTTGTTACTAATAGTATCTGTCCAACGAACCCGAAGTATTTTGCGTAGACAACTGTTAATAAACACCTGTATTTTCTGGATAACGGCTTTCGTAGTTATCCAGGTTTCCGCCCCATACAGTAGAACTGTCTTGACATTTGTATTGAAAACCCTGATCTTGGTGTTGGTTGACAGTTGTTTTGAATTCCAGATGTCCTTCAGTTGTAAATATGTTGCTCTTGCTTTACCGATCCGCGCTTTCACATCTACATCAGATCCACCATGTTCACGAATGATGCTGCACAAATATGTAAAGGTTTTTACATCTTCCAAATCTTCACCGTCATTTGTGATTGGATTGGTGCATGCTTTGTTGTATCGGAGAACCTTGCTCTTCCCTTTGTGTATATTGAGACCTATTGCTGCTGAGGCTGCTGCTACACTGGTCGTCTTCTCCTGCATTTGTTGTTGCGTTTGGGATAGAAGGGCCAGAACATCTGCGAAGTCTAGATCGTTCAGTTGCATCCTAGATGTCGATTGTATCCCGTGTTTCCCTTCAGATGTTGACGTCTTCATGATCCAGTCGATCACCAGGAGAAAGAGAAAGAGTGAGAGTAAGCAACCATGCCTGACACCGATCTTTATTTCGAATGAGTCTGTCAATTGTCCCCCGTGCACGAGTATGCAGTGTAATCCATCATAGGAATTCTGTGTGATATTGACTATCTTCTGAGGCACGCCATAGTGTTGAAGAAGCTTCCATAGTGTTGTTCTGTTCACGCTATCAAATGCGGATGAATTCCATTCGATAAATTTTCCACCATGATCCTTAGAGTTGCGATTTGGTCTGTATATGATCTATCCTTACGGAATCCTGCCTGTTGGTTTCGAAGTTGGGCATCTACGGAGTCTTTCATCCTGTTTAACAATACTCTGTTGAAGTATTTTCCTGGTATTAAGAGAAGACTGATGCCCTTGTAGTTATCACAGTTGCTGAGATATCCTTTCTTCGGTATATTGACCAGAAGTCCTTCTTTCCAGTCTGTTGTTACTTGTTCTTCATCCCAAATCTTGTTGGAGGGAATCCGAAGTATCCCTGCAGCTACTGCAACATCTGCTTCCAGTACGTCTTCTGGAATGTTGTCTGGTTCTGCTGTTTTGCCACTCTTGATTTGTCTGATGGTCATGCTGATCTCTTCAATTGTTGGTGGGCCAACATTGATTGGGAGGTCCGTGTGTGCTGCTTCGATGTTGGGTGGGTTCAGTGGATCTGGTTGATTCAAGAGTTATTTGAAGTGTTCTACCCACCTGTTTTGTTGCTCTTCAATGTTGGTGATTACCTCGCCTTCCTTGCTTTTCACTGGTCGTTCTGGTTTGCGGCGATTTCCAGAGTTTCTTTGCCTTGTCATACAGTTGTCTCATGCTTCCTTCTCTTGCAGCCTTTTCCGCCGTCTTCGCTAGATCTTCCAAATATTTACGTTTGTCGGTTCTGATGCTCCTCTTCACTTGTTTGTTTACTTCTGTGTATTCAGCTCGTGCTTTGGCTTTCTCTGCTCTTGTTCGGCTGATATTGATTGCTGTTTTCTTGTTCCTCCTTTCTTGAATCTTATCCAGTGTATCAACCATGATCCATTCTTTATGATGGTGCTTCTTGTGGCCCAGGACCTCATGATATGTTGAAGTGATTGCTTCTTTGATCCCCTTGCAGTTGCTCTCCACAGTAGTTCCTTCTCCATTGAGTAGATCATGAAAGGCCTGGAACTTGTTGCTGAGGGCTAACTTGAATTTGTTGAGTTTGTTAGTATCCTGAAGAAAGGCCGTATTGAACTTTTGTGATATTGTCCGCCCCATTGTCCAGTGTTTCTTGAGTTTCAATTTCATCTTGACGACCAGCAAGTGATGATCTGATGCTATATCAGCTCCTATCTTGGTTCTCACATCCTCTATAGTCCTCCTGAACGTTTTGTTGATGCAAATATGCTTGATTTGGTTTTGCGTGGTGTGATCCGGTGATTTTCATGTGGTTTTTCGAATGCGTTTATGTGGGAATATGGTGCCGCCAATGACCAGTTTATTGAAAGCACATAGGTTTGCGAATCTCTCACCATTTTCGTTCCTTTCTCCCAGTCCGTGTCGTCTCATGATGTCTTCATATCCAGTGTTGTCCGTTCCAACCTTGGCATTGAAGTCTCCCATCAGAATGGTCAGGTCCTTTGTTGGGCACTTCTCGATGATTGACTGCAGCCTATTGTAGAATTGATCTTTAGCGTCTTCATTGTAATCGTTGGTAGGCGCATAGCATTGGATGATATTCATTGTAATGCCCTCCTTTTTTGTTTTGAACGAGGCTTTGATGATCCTTGGTCCATGAGATTCCCATCCTGTAAGTGCATTTTGTGCTTGTTTGGACAGCATCAGTGCAACTCTTTGTGTATGTGGGGCATTTTCTTCTTCATGGCAGGAGTATAACAGAAGCTCTCCTGAAGTTAGTCGTTGTTGTTCAACTTGCGTCCAATGTGTTTCACTGATCCCAAGCACCTCCAGGTTGTATCTCCTCATTTCTACAGCAATTCGGAAGGCTCTCCCGGTGTCCAACATTGTACGAACATTCCATGTACCTAAATAAATGGTTGCTGTGGTTGTCAGAAGGGGCATCGGCCTCGTAACTTCTGAAGGAATTCGGCTTTCATCATGAGGCGTCATAGTTATTCTAAATGAAGACCTTCTGACTCCCAAGGCTGAGTTTAAAAGTTTTGAATTATCTTTTCTGGTTAGTGTTTTTTTAGCGAGTTAGTTTTCTACGGGATTGGGACGCTAACCCTATGCCCTACCCTTCTCCTTTATTCGAGCTTGGGACGGATAGTAGGCTCCGGAGGGACTCCAGGCGGAGTTTCGACGAACATCGTCCAATCTAATGACGACAAAATAAAGAGCCTCACGCCATACACCTGATCACACGTTTGAAATACGAGCGAAACTGAACGTCCTGAAACAACGATTTGCCTAAAAGGCGGTTCTTCATTGATGAATAGAAAGAAATTAGTTACAAACCTCAACTTGTGAGGTATCAGTGGCGCTTAGAGCGTTTGTAAATCTGTGAGAAAAATGGCTTTCCGCGATGATAACATAAAGAATAATTATGACATACGACAGTGCAAGTGACAGCTGGTAGCTGTGTCTAATCTTGATAGCCCTTTACCAACGAGCAAACCGTTAACCAGAAGAAAACAAAATATGGAAACCATTGCACTTAAATAAGGATTCAATGATCACGAAAATGATAATAACTGATATAAGGGATTTAAAGAAAGTAATTATAATGATAAATGCAGTAAGTGTTATAAATATATGTAAATATTTTATAGTATTACACGACACACAACAACAGCACACGCGTAGAAATTGTTAGCAAAGCAACTAGGAAGGAACAGTCGACCAATGCTCCCAGTTTTTCCACGATGGTCATGCTTTAATTAACTCACTATTCAACTATTAAATAATACTAAGTAGTATAATTCAAAACACAAAAAATAAGGTCTGGCCATTGAACGTCAACGGACTTAACATGTAATATTTCCGAGATTTCATCTGATTTGTGTATAGCGTTTCATAATCAGAACTAGATATTACTGTCCTTGTATCGGAACCTAAAACTTGACAATACAACAATTTGACAAAAAATTACTATTCTATAGCCGTATTCAATTTTATAACTATAAGAAAAAGGTAATTCATCGAAGAAAATTTTCTTTTTCTTATTCAATGACACTATGGGTTATTTTAATTTATAACTATAGTTGATATAGAACTATAAGATTTACTTAACATAGATATTGTACATAGTTTAATATTGACTTACCCAGTCACATACATATATACAATTAAGTAATGATGGTATGTTATTATCTAATAGAGTCATTATTTTCATAATTAGTTAACTATAGCCGGAAGTATCTTATTACGTTATACATATAAATATGGAAGAAAATAATTAAACCTTCGGAAATAATGAAGATTTGTGGCATCAGTAATACTGACATGTTCAGTATTTTTGTATATTTCAATATTGTGCAGTTTGTATCATGTTAGTAAGTGATGTGTATTAGTTCTTTTTTTTAAATGGGTACCATACAAATTGTTTATTTTATTACTTTTAAAAATCAAATCCATTTGAATTGTATGTAAATTGACAAGGGTAAAACAGTTAACAAAGAGTTCATTGTATCATATTAAACTTTCTTAATTCGATTCATTCATTGAAAACCATGATTATCTCAATAGACTGAATTGAAACTTCATTCTTGGTTTTTATTTTTTATCATGATGATTTATAAATTTGTATGTTATCTAGTTTTCAAATTGTATAAGACTAAATAATCCTTCTTATTGACAAAGATGGATAGTGGCGAACAGTGGAATTCAGGACGCGCATTTCGTCCCATTCGAGACTCATCAGCTGGATGTACCTGTATTGAAGATTTGATGTTCACATGTAGCTTACAAGTCACAAATAGGACGAAACACGCGTCATAGATTCCACTGTTAGCTACTATTCATCTTTGCTGATAAAGCTTGTGACTTAAGGTAATATCGAGGCAATCTGCGCAGGATGAACATATGCCAACAAGTGATTGATCAATTTTAGTCCGAAACAACAATGGGAAGATACAAACAAACAACACCAAGTGAATTCAATCCTTCTTATCCTTTATTATTATTATGTTAAATAGAAAATATTAAATGTGTCTTATTCAGTTGAATTATACAAATTTACATAGATTTTTCTGAGAAAAAACAAACAAAGGTTACACTAAATGTATATTAAGTATTACTATACTCAATTTTATACGTTTATTTCGAACTTAACACATAGAAATTTCGGTATTTATCCGCTTTTATTTTTGTACGAATCAATTACTTAGAGGCGTATTTTATTGAATAACACTTAGATATAAGATACATCAATTCAATATGGAATTTTAAAGAGAGATGTATTTTATCGTTGTTTTGTTAAAACTTTGCTTTATTGTCTCTTTGTCCCATTCTCTAGGTAGGGATGGGTAACAATAAATAAAAAGATATGAAGTAACTATAAGAAACTGATAATGTAGTTATTACATCAGTTTTGATTAAGAAAATAATAGAAAGGTTTCCATTTGGATTTTACTAATCAATAATTTTATTCATACTTAACTCCATTATCGATTTACTCGGAAATTATTTACTTATTTGTATATACATTTCAATGAGCCATTAATATAGATTAATTTAAGATGATTTTAATTAAACAATATGATTAAGTTTGCTTTCATTATTTATCGATTTGTTTTGGATTTTGTTTCTATGAGGTATATATATATATATATATATAGACATATAATCAAAGTATAAATGCACACATTTTGATATGATGGAGATAATTTGTAGCTCAGATGGATGATTTTGATGGATCTTGGTTCTCTGAGCTGGATAGTTTGATCGTGGAGCTTTCCTCGTTCTTCTGAACGACATTATCAGTACAAACTTCAGATAGAAGTGAAGTGTTCGAATTTCTTCATATGCGTTTCACAGCTTGTTCTGTACACCTCGACGTTGACTCGTTCTTATTGACATTGATCGCACCACCATAGGAACAAAAATCAAACCAATGGGAGACACAATCAAAACAAAGAAGCAAACAATGACAAATCCAAAGTCAATAAGAACCAATCGACATCGAGGTGTTCAGGACAAGCTGTGAAACACACATGGAGAAATTCGAACACTTCACTTCTATCTGAAGTTTGTGCTGATGATGTTGTTCAGAAGAACGATGAAAGCTCCACGACCAAACCGTCCAGCTCTGAAAACAAAAGTCCATCAAAATACACAAATGTTGGATGCCTGATATGAAAAGCGTAGAAATCGATAAAATTACTGCATAAATCCTACCTAGTTACAAGAAAGATAAGAATATATTAAAAATGTATTTTGAATAAAAACCTAAGCTTATTAGCACGAATTGTTATGATATTTAGCATACGTACGTGACGAGTCTGAACTATATGTAAACAGCGATTGGTAGATGTTTAATACTAACTAAATGTAAAACAGTGTTTTGTATTTACTTTTTTTACACTATCCACACCAAGGAAATAGATATTTACTCATTTGTTGATAAAGTTATTCAATAGCACGCTCAGTATGCCCCATCTTTTCTGAAGAAGTGCAATCTGTGAACAGGCATTAGTACACAAACCAGAGTATGTTTATTCTTACTCTGATCCCTCAAGATCCCATTTTGCATGAAATTGCTTTTTTCCATTTTCTGATACTTGTTAATGATATTTCATTATGTTCAGTAATACATAGATAACTCACACTATGAATAATAAACTTTATACTTCTAATAAATATTATAATGACCTGATCAAATTCACCATATACAAATAATCTATATTATGATTTTCTAATGCTGACAGAACTGTCAAAATGTCTGTAAATCATTTGTTACCTATTATGTTATATTCATATTGCTATTTACATACTGATGTCACTATTTTCAAAAAAACCCATTTCACCCTTGCTTACTTTTTAGAGAAATATTGGTATTTGCAAGAAATGAATTCCTTGCTACACGATAATATTATAGTTAATAATGCATGTTATAGATGAGAGAGTTATTCAATGGTTACCAATATAATGTTTAATCATTATACTAAGGTCTATCAGTGAAGGAATTCTATTAGTTGACTAAATTTCATTATATAAATAGCGTTGAACAAATGTGTTTGATCTTTATCTATAGAAGTACCTAACGTTTATGACTGAATTCTTAAGAAGTATAAGTGTATCTGTCTTATAAAGCTAAAAAACATCTAGTTTGTAAAGTATCCTGTGTTCTAATAACACTTTTTTTGTTTTCTTGTAGTACAATAAATATTGATAGATATGAGACATTGAATGAAACCAATTGGGTTTATGAAGGACTATAAACTATTTCAAACTTATAAATAATATTAAATAAATCAGAAGGAGTTTGTGGAGATTTTAGAAATTTTACAGATTGAAATCATCAGTCAATTAAAGTTAGACCACCATGGAAAACGTGGAAGCACTGGATGGCCGTCTCACAATAGGATGAGACGACTGTTCAATGCTTCCAGGTTTTCCATAGTGGTCTAACTTCAATTGACTCATGATCTTAACTATTAAATTATACTTCACAAAATTCTAGGAAAGTTACTTAACTATTAATATCCTCATTTATTTTCAACTTATTTACTTTATCTCTATTTTTCTTGAATGTTTCATTTATTCAACTTTAGTTATTCTGTCAAAGAGGATAAAGAATTAAGTAGATTTTTCACTGATCTATACAATGCAGATGTAAATGCAGTTGAAAATGGTAAAGATTATCGATTAAATTTACAAGGTAAGTTTGTTTAAATATCATAATGTTTACCTTTAATGACTTTACTAATAAGAAGTAGTACAAGACAAAATACTAATTCATAACTGTAAACTTTCATTCAATGTTCTATTGATGAGTAAATGATCCTTTATTTATATGATCACTTTTATATTTTGAAAAATTATTCAAATAAAATGATGATAATTATTTGTGTGAAATTAGTTTCTGTGGCATTACATGCTTCAGATATCTCTCATTATATTGAAGATAATCTGATTTATATTTGAATAACAACTAGCATATATAGGATCGTTTACACTCTCAGTGTGTTGAGAACCATAAATCAGTTATATTTTACGTGTATCAGTTGAAAAACAAAAACAAACAGCTCGATTATTGAGAATTAGAAATCATTAGATAGCTATTTTACTTATAATTTATATCAGAAGGGGTTTGTGGAGATTTTAGAAATTTTCACAGATTTAAATCATCTGCTCACTAGTGACTGACTTCAAGAGATACTCCTGGAGTTCTAGTGGGAAGCCGTTACCAGTAGAGTTCAACCAGGTCTGTTGTGAGATATCAGCTCATTGAAGACAATGGTGTACGGTGGCGCGACTTCGTGGATTGGTTGAAGTTAGACATTAACACCATTGGATGCCGGCTCAGTGGTTTAATGGTTGAGTGCTCGCGCGCGGAGCCAGTAGGTCCTGGGTTCGAGCCCCGCGTGGTGCGGGTGTGGATGCGCACTGCTGAGGAGTCCCATAATTTATATATAAATAGTTGATCATAAAACATTCAGATCTATGGAGACAAGATATTATCTCCTTATTGGTTGGAATGTAATGAACGATAGTTTATAACATATGACAGTCTGATATATCGTGGCTTTCATACGATGTATTCGGTTGGTAATTGCCACATTCTGACTTATTTATTTTGTGACAAAGTCAACCAATATGAAATGGATAGCTGGTATTATATTTAATAATCCGATATAAATGGAAGAAATAAGTACAAATCATAGTTGATGTATTACATTTATAGTAAATGATTTACTTCCTAGTAGAACAATATAATACATGCTACTGATAATATTAACCAATTTATAATAATAAGTTGAGAACTTCTGAATTTCGCCAAGCGGGATCGTGGATGCATGCTGCTAAAGAGTCCCATACTAGAATGAAACAGCCGTCCAGTGCTTCCAGGTTTTCCATTGTGGTCTAGCATCAATTGAATCGTGAATTCAATTATTAATATATTAAATTTGTAAATTTTTTTGACATAACTATGAATATTAAATAACCTCTAGTTTGGTTGAGTGAATAATTCAGATTTATACATCTAGTAATATTTGTAAAAAGTAAGAAATATTAAGTTATTTCCACTTTTTCTTTCTTTTTATAGGAAAACTAGCTAGAGGAATGGATTCTGTAGATTTGGCATCTAAACCATTGTTTGAATTTGTTAATGAAGAGATATTGGGAAAGAGACCTACTTTTGCAAGTATGTAACAAAGAATGATATTTGAAAGGTGTATATTTTTTTCATTGACAACTTAATGATTGACAAGTCTTGCAGATTAGGACGCTATATTCGTCTCCTAAGCTGTTCTGTAACCCCCAAGCTAGAACTAGACAGCGACCTGAACGACGAGAGTGAAGATGCAATGTATGCGAAAAGTACTCCAAGTTTTGTTTCAATATAGAAAATACAGGGTTTTTATAATATTTTAAATGTCCTTGGGTTGCTCGAAGATTCTGGAATGCTACTAAACATAGTATCAGTGTAGCAATCAGCCAATCAGACCCTCAGCATGTGACGTTTCACTTCCTTAATATTTTTGGCCAAAACTTCAAGTGAACGCTGATTGGATGAAACGCTTCTTAGTGTTTCCTGATGCTTGCTTGTCTTTTGCAAGCAATTTTCTGGATCACTCCAACAATGATAATTTAAACAAATGTTCTTTATGTCAGATTTACATAAAAAGTAGTGAATGGCGAACATAACCATACTTACTTACTTACTTACTTACGCCTGTTACTCCTCGTGAAGGAGCATAGGCCGCTCACCAGCATTCTCCATCCAACCCTGTCCCAAGCAATCCTTTCTAGCTCCGTCCAGTTGTTATTCATCGTTTTCATATCTGCTTCTATTATCCGACGTAATGTGTTCTTTGGCCTTCCTCTTTTTCGCTTCCCTTCACGATTCCAAGTTAGCGCTTGCCTCGTGATGCAGTTTGACGATTTGCGTAATGTATGTCCTATCCATTTCCATCGTCTTTTCCTAATTTCTTCTTCAGCTGGAAGCTGATTTGTTCTCTCCCACAAAAGGCTGTTGCCGATGGTATCCGGCCAATGGATGTTGAGTATTTTGCGTAAACAGCTATTTATAAATACTTGTACCTTATTGATGGTGGTTGTTGTAGTTCTCCAAGTTTCAGCTCCATACAGTAGAACTGCCTTGACGTTCGTATTGAAGATTCTCACTTTGATATTGACTGAAAGTTGTTTTGAGTTCCAGATGTTCTTCAGTTGTAGTAATGCGACCCTTGCTTTGCCAATCCTCGCCTTTACGTCGGCATCTGAACCTTCTTGTTCATCGATGATGCTTCCCAGGTATGTGCAGGACTCTACATCTTTCAGAGTTTCGCCATCAAGAGTGATTGGATTGTTGTTTTCTGCTTTGAATTTGAGGACTTTGGTTTTCCCTTTGTGTATGCTGAGGCCTACTGATGCAGAGACTGCTGCTACACTGGCTGTCTTCATCTGCATCTGTTCGTGTGTACGTGATAGGAGGGCTAGGTCATCTGCGAAGTCCAAATCGTCGAAGTGATTTTGAGCTGTCCATTGTATTCCGTGTTTTCCTTCAGATGTCGAGGTCCTCATAATCCAGTCGACCACCAGAAGAAAGAGGAAGGGAGAGAGTAAACAGCCTTGTCTGACTCCGGTCCTTACTTGGAATGCATCTGTCAGCTGTCCTCCATGCACGACTTTGCACTGTAGTCCGTCGTATGAGTTCCGGATAATATTGACAATCTTCTCAGGAACTCCGTAGTGTCGAAGAAGTTTCCATAACGTCCTCCTATCCACACTGTCAAATGCCTTTTCATAATCAATGAAGTTGATGTATAGTGATGAGTTCCACTCAACTGATTGTTCGACGATGATCCGTAGTGTTGCAATTTGGTCTGTGCACGACCGATCTTTACGGAATTCAGCTTGTTGATCTCAAAGTTGGGCGTCTACTGCATCTTTCATCCGGTTCAGTAACACTCTGTTGAAGACCTTCCCTGGTATTGACAGCAGTGTAATGCCTCTATAGTTTTCACATTTGCTCAGATCTCCTTTCTTTGGAATCTTGACGAGGTGTCCTTCTTTCCAGTCCATCGGCACTTGTTCCTCCTCCCAAATTTTTTTTAATAGAAGGTAAAGCATGTTTGTAGTTGCTTCGATGTCTTACTTCAGTGCTTCAGCTGGTATATTGTCGGGTCCTACTGCTTTACCACTCTTGATTTGTCTGACGGCCATTCTGATTTCTTCCTTCGTTGATGGGTTGACGTCTATGGGAAGATCTGTGTGTGCTGCTTCGATGTCCGGTGGATTCATTGGAGCCTGTCCTATTCAGGATTTCCTCAAAGTATTCTACCCATCTGTTCCGCTGTTGTTGAATTTCAGTGATTGGCTTGCCTTCTTTGTCTTTACCGGTCTCTCTGGTTTACTGTATTTCCCTGATAGTTTCTCCGTTGTATCGTAAAGCTGTTTCATATTTCCTTCTCTAGCAGCTTTTTCTGCCGTCGTTGCTAGTTCTTCCACGTATTTCTTCTTGTCGGCTCTAATGCTCCTCTTCACTTGCTTGTTTACTTGTGTGTATTCAGCTTGTGTTTGAACTTTCTCTGGAACACAACCATTTATTTCATTATATAAGGTAACGTTTATTTAAATCATGAGGTAATCGAGTCAGAAGCAAGACCTGATGATTCTAAGTGTTAAGTATGAAAAGTGGATAGTCTGGGAGAATTGACCTAGACGGAGATCATAGGTTTTTGTTAGTGAAAATAAAATTCAACTGAGACTTTATGCAGTAAATTTGTAATCATTATATTAGTTTGACAGCTTAGACAAAAAGCTATGCGCTGAAAATTTCTTCTTTAAAATGAAGAACAGGCCATTAATTTACTCATAGATCTATTTACCGTTGACTGAGATTCGTGGAAAAAAAATTCTGTTACCAAGTTTATGAAATATTCAGTGAGAACTAATAAACTCATTTTAGTCTGAGGTAAATTTATGACGAATATTAAATTAGAATGAGTTTTGTGGAGAATTTTGGGAAATTTCACAGGTTGAAATCATGAGCCAGTTGAAGCTAGACCACCATTGAAAACCTGGAAGCACTGGACGGCCGTTTCGTGGAGTTCAATCAGGTCTGTTGTGAGATATCAGCTCACTGAAGACAATGGTGTTCGATGGCGCAACTTCGTGGATTGGTTGAAGTTAGACACTAACACCGTTGGATGCCGGCTCAGTGGTCTGATGGTTAAGTGCTCGCGCGCGAAGCCAGTAGGTCCTGGGTTCGAGCCCCGTGTGGTGCGGGGTCGTGGATGCGCACTGCTGAGGAGTCCCACACTAGGACGAAATAGCCGTCCAGTGCTTCCAGGTTTTCAATGGTGGTCTAGCTTCAACTGACTCATGATTTCAACCTGTGGAATATTAAATTACCTAATTAACTGACTGAGGGAAAGTACTTGTTTGAATTCATCAGTTTAAGATCGATAACTTTGTCTAGAAAATTAACAGAATGAGCTGTAGACATTATGATTAGACCAGTAAAGTGAATAATACAACTTTCCAATCAAATAATTTCAAATACATAATCAGTTTCATTTCCTACACATAAACTTGTATGATCAATATTTAGCTGACTACTATGTGAGCTACGAAAAAAACATACCATAACGTTTACAAGAACTATGGACATTTCCAAAAACTTTAAATCATGAAATTTTACACCGAAAACAGAATATTAAACGTTTTAATTGAAAGGACAAATTAAATTCTGTTCATGATAAATTTCCAATAGTTGTATATCATCACTTATAATAACAGACAAAAGTCAGTCGATATCAAAAAGACCTAGATAAACATTTATTTTGCATGATTTAAATTTACTGAACTTTTGTTGAAATGTTAGAATAATAACTAAGAAGTTGCTGAAATTCAGGTATCAAAGACTGAAGAAACTAGAAAAGTTTACGATCAGAATCTTTACATCTTGAGAGTTTTGTAATTCTCTATTATATCTCAATCAGTCATACGAGTATTTAAACAAGTTGGCAATGTAAAATGTCTAAAAATTAAACTTGAAATTATGTATATACTATAGAATTCATTGCATTATTGGATAACTACAATCCTCAAGTTGGTGTCACTGAAATCGTCACAGAGCAACAACAGAAAGAGGAAGATGACTTTATCAATGAATTGCTAAAAACAGAAGTCATGAAAATGACTTATAATTTCCTTATCGAAAGACGAAAGTTGTCAGGAGATATTAAAAACTTTGGAAAATTCTTGAAGGATTTGTGGTTCAAGCGATATAAACGTAGGAGGTGAGTTTAGTATGATTTGACTAGGATTGTTATATTGACCAATAGAATATTGATAGATTGATCATATGATGTGATATGTTGTAGCTTAGTAAAAGGTGGTCTCAAAAATGAGTCTTCCGAGTTGTTATGCTAAGTAAAATCCTCTTATTTCCCAAAAAAATAAAGAAGAAAGTATTACATCAGTAGAATTTTATGTTTAAGATATGTAAAACATTTGTATTCAATCTGTTCACGAAATGGAACTATGAGTAGTTACCAAATTGAGTATTTCACTGAAAGCTTTTAATGAAATTGTTAATTATCAGATAAATTGTTATCAGTAACTATTTCATGCTTCTAAACCATTGGTGATTGAATTTCACGTAGATCAATTTATTATTTGTATGCTGTTTTGTCGATAAAATCTCCACAAAACCCCTTCTCATGATATTAGTTTTACAGATTTTCCATATTCCGCATAGTTGTTCATTGCATGATCTAATACTCTTTAGCTAGTTTTTATGTATTTAGGCACCAGACTAGTACGAGAAATGAACTTAACTCACCATTTAAAGCTTATCATAATAATTTATTCTCTTCGTTTTGACAAGGTATTCTATAATCTAAAACAACAGTCTGTCCAAACTTTTTCAGCTAGAAAGCTCCTAAAAAGTTGGATAACTTAGTTCAAAGTGAGTTAGCGGTGTATATAGACTTGGATTCATTGGGAAATAGTTATAAAGTTTTCTATTTCACTTGAAGCCAAAACATAGCCTGTACAATATAATCCAAACATTTTAACTTGAAATTAAACTGTGGTGTGTTCTACTGGTATCGACACATACAAGTAGTATGTATCAGCAGTTGGATGTGAAATGCTTGGTGGCATATGGTTAAGAATAGCGAAGAGAAAAACGCGAGAACATAGAATAAATGGTGTGGAAACAAAGAAACAATCATGTCTGAGACAATTGATTGACATTTTGCAAACTAAGTATTTACTATCTGGTTCTCAGATTCGATTAAGACATTTTGTAATTGTGTATAAAATAGATTTAGTTGTCCCCGCCTGTGTTCTCATTCACTACAATATTGATCTTGTGTTAAAATTAAGAAGAGAATACTGCATGATCCTTCATATAACTATTTAAGGTAGACTAATCATCATAAAGATATTAATAAAACATAAGTACAACTGTTAGATTCTTTTAGAATATATCAAAAGTAAACCAATGAGAGGTGAATTCTTCAGTATGTTCAAAGGACTTAACTGTGAATGTAGTTATCCCCCTTCAACTCAAGTAATATCAACCTACGATAACAAGTTAAGATGAATAATTAATTATGATGATTTATAGTTTCCCTTTTACATTCTATACAAAATATATAAAACATAAATCAATCAAATAATGAAGTCCAAAAGACTCTTCTGCATTTGAACATGTATTTGTTGGTGAACATAAAAATTTCGATGTACTTGGATTACATAATTGGATTCAATTTTATTCTAAAGAAAAGAAAAATCAATTAAACTTTTTTGGATGGACTAGAAGAGTAAGAAATTTCTTTTTTGTTTTTAATGTTTGATAATAAAGTTAGTAATTATTACTATGCTAATGATGATTTAATAAAGAATTGATATTATCCGAATGGTAAAGTATTATGTAACTATGATTAGATTTGCAGGATTATACAACTGATATTTACTGTTAGATCAATGAGGCTGCTCAAATACATGTATGTATACATAATAGTTATCTAATTACGCATATCTCAACCTTTATTGCAGTCAGTCAGTCAGTCAGTAACAACGTAGAACTTCGTACGTACGTACGTACATCAGTTTGAGTTGCCGTATCACATTAGCACAGAGATACAATTGTCGATTCAATTCCCATATTTGTAGAAGTAGTAAAAGTATAAGCAACACGACTCAATCCACTTGTCAGTGACTTCATGGATTTGTGCCATGTTTTGGTCTGGCCGCCCCTAGCTTTCTTCCAACCTACTCCTACACCACAAAACATCGCACGTCAAGACAGTCGGTCGTTGGGCATACGTAGCATGTGTCCCAGCCATCTCAAATAATGAAGTTTCACTACTTCATCAATTGATTTGCCATCCTTAACTAGTACCCGTTTCCTAACAACTGCATTACTTACTCGATGGTCCCAGGATATACGAGCAATATTTCGAAGACACCTATGAACAAATACTAGTAACCTACGGATATCCTCTACTCTTACCGGCCATTCAACCTTTATGTAGGATGTATTTATTTAATAATCTTACATATAAATGGTACTTATAGCACCATAAAATATCGAAGATTATCTATTATGAAACTTCAGAAAAGAATAAAATGAATTTTATAAGGTTTCACTGATATTCAATGGTGTTTATGGTTGACTAGTGGAGGATAATATTATGAACCGTACAAAATACCTCTTTAATAGAAACTCTAAGAAAGCAGTTATCAATTCATAATAAACGTGGAATAATTATTATTTACTAAGCTGGTATTAACAAGGTCATAAAATGTCTTAGACAGTTAATTGCTGTGTGATTTAAGCTATAAAACAGTGAAAATTGAAATTATTTGGTGAGTTAGCGCAGTAATAATGATTTTTAAAAAAACGTCTGCATGTGTTTCAATATTTATCCACTACATTATGTCGCCTGTACAATGCTTTATGCATGTTTCCAGTTGCTATTTATTCTTTTTATTCACGCTTCCAATTCTCGACGCAGTATGTTATTTAGTCCTCCTCTTTTTATTTCCCTTCACCATTCCAAGTTTGTGCTTGCTTCGTGATGCAGTTTGTTGATTTCCGTAATGTATGCCTTATCCACTTCTAACGTTTTTTCCTAAGTTCCTCTTTAGTTGGAACCTGGTTTGTTCTCTCCTACAGTAGGCTGTTGGCGATTGTATCCGACCACCAGACATTAAGCATCGTAGGTAAACAAGTGTTTGGAAATACTTGTACCTTTGTGATAATGATTATTATAGTTCTCGAAGTTTATGCTGACATTCTTATTGAAGATTGTGACTTTGATATTGGTTGACAGTTATTTTGAGTTCCATATATTGTTCAACTGTAGAACTGTTGTTCTTGCTTTGCCAATCCTCGCCTTCACATCTGCATCCTCCTTGTTCATCAATGATGCTATCCAAATACATGAAAGTTTCCATCTCTTCCAGAGTGATTGGGTTAATGTATAAAACTCACGAACTCAAGTTATATTTGGTTACTGCAAAAAAATTGCTCAAAATGCAAAACATTCATGTAATTTAGATGTTTTTAATTGCGTAATTTTTAACGATATAACTAATGTTTTGTATTAAATTTTTACTACAGTTTTGTAAAGATCAACTTATCACTGTAACATATGTCAATGAAAATAAATATAAAAAGCCAATTGGAAGTGTTTTTGTTGGATCATCTCCAGAATTCGATATTGCTGTTTATACAGTTGCTTTTACACTACATCCTACATCTGTATTTGAAGTAAATATCTCTGGATGTAAAATACGTATAACATGTCATGAATTATCTCCTTCTGAAATGGGTACATGTTATATGGGGTAAACACTATATGTATCTGAATAAACATTTGTTTCCATTGACCTTAAAAGCAATAGCAAATTTAAGTTTAATATGTCGTTTGATAGATTAATATTCTGAAAATATATAATTTTGTTGAAATTACCTTACTTTTTATTGTATTACAAAATTAGTAAAAATCAAAAAAACTTTCAGTGAGAATACCACTTTTAAGATGGTTCAGAATATATCAAGGTAAAGGAGAGAATTTTAGATGAATTGTATTATTTTTGTACTCACGTAATTAAACTGTCTAACTGAGTGTACAAATCTCTAACGAAAGATTAACATTTTTTACGATTTTGCGTGAACAAAACATTCAGACACATTTACATTAAGATTAATAAAAAACATACTAAAGTGACAAAATATAAATGAATGGTTACCTAATGATCAAAAATCGAGTGATATGAAGCAATGAAATGACAATGTTGTAAATATCAACGTGTCGTATTTAACATGAAACAGTATTTACAAGTCTAGCTAGTTCATTTCCTAGAGTTTGATATATACAAAGAATATTGCAATACTACTGTTCTTTCGTTTTGTTTAATGATATGAATAATCTCAATATAACACCGCCTGCAGCCCCTCCAGGGGCTACTGCCAGGCCCAAGCCAGGATGAAGGACGAGGGTTGGGCATGGGGTTAGCGTCCCCATCCCGTAAAAAACTAACTTGCTAAAAAAAACGTTAACCGGAAAAATTTATTCAAAACTTTTAAACTCTGCCTTGGGAGTCAGAAGGTTTTCATTTAGAAGAACTATGACGCCTCATGATGAAAGCCGAGTCCCTTCAGAAGTTACGAGGCCGATGCCCCTTCTGACAACCACAGCAACCATTTATTTAGGTACATGGAATGTTCGTACAACGTACGACACCGAGAGAGCCTTCCAAATTGTTGCAGAAATGAGGAGATACAACCTGTAGGTGCTTGGGATCAGTGAAACACATTGGACGCAAGTTGGACAACAACGACTAGCTTCAGGAGAGCTTCTGTTATACTCCGGCCATGAAGAAGAAAATGCCCCACATACACAAGGAGTTGCACTGAGGCTGTCCAAACAAGCACAAAATGCATTTACAGGCTGGGAATCTCATGGACCAAGGATCACCAAAGCCTCCTTCAAAACAAAGAAAGAGGGCATTTCAATGAACATCATCCAATGCTATGCGCCTACCAACGATTACAATGAAGACACTAAAGATCAATTCTACAATAGGCTGCAGTCAATCGTCGAGAAGTGCCCAACAAAGGACCTGACCATTCTGATGGGAGACTTCAATGCCAAGATTGGAACGGACAACACTGGATATGAAGACATCATGGGACGACACGGACCGGGAGAAAGGAACGAAAATGGTGAGAAATTTGCAAACCTATGTGCTTTCAATAAACAAGTCATTGGCGCCACCATATTCCCATATAAACGCATTCACAAAACCACATGGACTTCACCGGATCACAGCACGCAAAACCAAATCAACCATATTTGCATCAACAGAAGGTTCAGGAGGACTATAGAGGACGTGAGAATCAAGAGAGGAGCTGATATACCATCAGATCATCACTTGCTGGTCGCCAAGATGAAATTGAAACTCAAGAAGCACTGGACAAGGGGGGGGAAATATCACAAAAGTTCAATACGGCCTTTCTTCAGGATACTGACAAACTCAACAAATTCAAGATAGTCCTGCGCAATAAGTTCCAGGCCATTCATGATTTACTCAATGAAGAAGGAACTACTGTGGAGAGCAACTGCAAGGGGATCAAAGAAGCAATCACTTCAACATGTCATGAGGTCCTGGGCCACACGAAGCATCATCACAAGGAATGGATCACTGTTGATACACTGGATAAGATTCAAGAAAGGAGGAACAAGAAGGCAGCAATCAATATCAGCCGAACAAGAGCAGAGAAAGCCAAAGCACAAGCTGAATACACAGAAGTAAACAAACAAGTGGGGAAGAGCATCAGAATCGACAAACGTAAATATTTGGAAGATCTAGCGAAGACGGCGGAAAAGGCTGCAAGAGAAGGGAACATGAGACAACTGTATGACACGGCAAAGAAACTCTGGAAATCGCCGCAAACCAGAACGACCAGTGAAAAGCAAGGAAGGCGAGGTAATCACTTACATTGAAGAGCAACAAAACAGGTGGGTAGAACACTTCAAATAACTCTTGAATCGACCAGCTCCACTGAACCCACCCAACATCGAAGCGGCACACACGGACCTCCCAATCAATGTTGGCCCACCAACAATTGAAGAGATCAGCATGGCTATCAGGCAAATCAAGAGTGGCAAAGCAGCAGGACCAGACAACATTCCAGAAGACGCACTGGAAGCAGATGTAGCAGTAACTGCAGGGATTCATCGGATTCCCTCCAACAAGATTTGGGATGAAGAACAAGTACCAACAGACTGGAAAGAAGGACTCCTGATCAAAATACCGAAGAAAGGCGATCTCAGCAACTGTGATAACTACAAGTGCATCACTCTTCTCTTAATACCAGTAAAATACTTCAACAGAGTATTGTTAAACAGGATGAAAGACTCCGTAGATGCTCAACTTCGAGACCAACAGGCAGGATTCCGTAAGGATAGATAATATACAGACCAAATCGCAACTCTACGGATCATTGTGGAACAATCAATTGAATGGAATTCATCACTCTACATCAACTTCATTAACTACGAAAAAGCATTTGACAGCATGGACAGGACAACACTATGGAAGCTTCTTCGACACTACGGCGTGCCTCAGAAGATAGTCAATATCATACAGAGTTCATATGATGAATTACACTGCAAAATCGTGCATGGAGAACAATTGACAAAGTCGTTCTAAGTGAAGACCGGTGTTAGGCAAGGTTGCTTACTCTCACTCTTTCTCTTTCTCATGGCGATCGACCGGATCATGAAGACGTCAACATCTGAAGGGAAACACGGGATACAATGGACATCTAGGATACAATTGGACAATCTAGACTTCGCAGATGATCTGGCCCTTCTATCCCAGACGCAACAACAAATGCAGGAGAAGACGACCAGTGTATTAGCAGCCTCAGCAGCAATAGGTTTCAATATACAAAAAGGGAAGAGGAAGGTTCTCCGATACGACACAGCATGCACCAATCCAATCACAATTGACGGAGAAGATTTGGAAGATGTAAAAACCTTTACATATTTGGTCAGTATCATTGATGCACAGGGTGGATCTGATGCAGATGTGAAGGCGCGGATCGGCAAAGCAAGAGCAGCATATTTACAACTGAGGAACATCTGGAACTCAAAGTAACTGTCAACCAACACCAAGGTCAGGATTTTCAATACAAATATCAAGAAAATGGGTACCCTTGGACACTTATAAAGAAATATGCAGCTGAACTCGGTAGTATGATAGTCCCCAAACCTAAAAGAAAACTGATTTTTCCAGTTGACATTCAAAGGCAGTCAAATCATGAATAAAATCAATTGAAGGTTTTGAATGGTACGTTTCTGATATGACGGGATAAAATGACAAATTACATTTTGCAAAATTGTTTTCACCGTATACTATAGAGGCTGGTACTATGTCGGGCTCACCACTTTTGCGGTGCCGTGATTTGTCTCCAATAAGATCATATGAATATGCTATGGACCTAAGTCTTCCAGTTAACTCCGTATATTACCTAGACTAACCGCGTTTATGTGACGGCGGTAATAAGAAGCCAAGTAAGAGATAATTCGGAGGGATTAATTTCAAGTGTTCGTTTGTGCAAACAGACTTCCAGAATAGGAAACGGAGCGGAGAAGGAGAGTAAGCCAACTCGTTTTAATAAAGAGTGACTCGATGTCAGATAAAAATAAGCTGCAGACATGATGGGTAGGATGAACAATGCACACATATACACTCATGTAAAAATAGTCAAAGTTAATAAACCAATAATTGACAGGGTCAAACTGTGAATTGAATAAAATGAATAAATCGGTTTGTCCGGAAGCTATAATAACAATTGCTAAGGAGTCCTACACTAGTATGAAATGGTCATCTAGTGCATAAAAATTTCAAATGCTGGTCTAACATTGATTGGTTCGTAATTTTAATAAAACTCATCATTCTCTACAATTTTATACTGATTATTCCAAGTAATGTTGTCTAAACTTCATAGCTTGAATGTTATTGGAAGATAAAAAAATACAGCGAATCCATAGTATTCTGCACTTAATTTTATTCCTTCTTTGTTAACATTTATGAAAGGAACCGAATGAATGAAACTCGGATTTAACCAATACAAACGGATCATATTAGCCCCACCTGAATGATACTTCATAATAAAATCCACTAATTCACCTTAGACTATCTAATTTTCAGATTCAAAAGATTGCTAATTAGAGCTGTAATTAACATTGAGCTAGTTTTGGAAATAATCGGTATTTGTATTTGCAACCGATATTACAAACCTCTCGTATTTAACAGTTTTAGGTCAGATTACATTTCGTTAGTACCAAAGTTGAATTACAATATGTAGGTCCTTAACAAAGTCATGTAAGAACCCATTCAATGTTAGATTATCTTACTTTGAAATGAAAGCTTCTTTCTTATAGAATAGTAATCTGATAGCATTTTCAGTATGTGATAATTAGAAGTATTTGAATTATTGTACAAACTAGAAATCCCAATTTAAGCACGAAGAAATAGATGGACACGAACGAACGTATTTTATTTGGAATTCAAAATCAGGCACTCATAAGGTATAAAAGAATCATTAGTTCATACAAACACCACACAGTAGTATATATTTCTACAGCATTCCTTTGGCATTGATTTTAAAGCTTTCCTCTTAGATACAGAGCAAAGTGTTGTGAAAATACAGTTATGCAGCAATCCACCTCACAAAAAGGTATGAAAAAAGTGATATCAAATGAATGATTGTTTATATAATACTGAATTTAAGGTGGTGGTAAGAGGTAGGCGACAGATACTTCTGACATTATTTTC